AGATATTATGACTTTAAAATCAATGGTTGATACTTTTTCTTTCTTTCTTACCCAATTTGAACTTATGTATTCCTTCTCTAACTGCCCTACCTCTACGGTCCCCTCTCTCTCACCTCCCTCTCATTGTCACTCCAAAAAAACTATGGCTTCCTTTTTTTTTTTCTTTTCTTTTGTTTCCTCCCTTTCACAATTTGACTTTTGCTATTCCTTCCTTTCATTTCATTTTTTAATTCAAAATTATGAATTTGGAGGCACTTTTTCCATTGGGTCCATAGATTATGAGACTTTGTTATTGTTGTTGAAACATGGAAGGGAAACAAATTAGAAGCATCGGTTATGGTGGAGATTTTCGCAACAAGAGAGGCATCATAGTAGTAGGGTTGGTTTAGTTAGGACTAGACATTTTTACAATCTTAGATTTGATAGTTATATAAATATAAACTTACTTTAACATGTATTAGAATATTACACAATTTTATTCATCCTTATTGAGATTAAAAATTTAAGTTTATTGTTAATAATCAACTTGAGTTAGTCAATTAAAATAATCAATATAGTTGGTCATTTCAAAAATGGTTGATTTAAGTTAAATATTTAAGTTGATAACTAGTTTGAGACCACTAATCTTGATAATTGATAAGATCAAACATTATAAGTAATAAAAAAAAATTAATAAGACCAAGTTAGGATCTGGTAAGAAATGTTGTACATAATATTGTTAAACCTCTTATCTATGATGATGCATTAAGAAGTCCTCATTAGAGGAACATATACATCAAAACATGTTTTCCTTTAATAACATCATAATGCAGGCCTATACCTTCTTGAAGCTCATTAGAATGATTCATGAGAATGATGACTTTAGAGTGATAACTTTAGTAGAGGCAGGTCATGTACAATTAACATGTTTCAAAAACCTCTTCAAAGAAAAGAGTTGTTATGCCATAAGCTCGCGTCTATTGTTTTCCCTCTGAGCCTATAAAAGAACATGAAGATGAAGCTTTGAAGATGTAAAATCAATTATAGATAGAAGCTTCTTGATTTACCGCCTCAGATAAGGATATTCACTCTCTCCTTCATCCTTTTTTTGAAAGAAAGAGATCAATTATAGATAGAAGCTTCTTGATTTACCGCCTCAGATAAGGATATTCACTCTCTCCTTCATCCTTTTTTTGAAATAAAGAGTGTACCTACTTCTATATCAAAGACCCTGAGCATTTATGTATAGAAGTGAGAGATTATTTTTTCTTAGTGGAAAATCTCTCTTAGAGTGAGAGAGAGAGAGAGAGAGAGAAAGTTGTAATATGTGAAAACAATCACTAGAAAAACAAATTTATTGTTATAACATCCTAACCTAAGCCTAAGAGGTGTTGTGGTTGAGGAGATGTTGAGTATATGCACTATGGGTGCATCGTTGTTAAAGATCATGAAAGAGTTGTCAACTATGTATTGATAAACAATCATAAGTGATTTTTGTCTGATTGATTGTGATGGTTGGAGTTCTAGTTATAGTGAAAATCTCATTGGTAAAGTGAGGATTGGATCTAGCCTTGAGTTGGGGTTAACTAGTATAAAACTCTTGTGTTTCTTCATTGTATATTTTTCCTTTTCATTGTTCTTATTTGAAAGTAGGATAATATGCTCTAAAATGAATTAGAGAGTTACCAACAATATTCATATATAAAAATTATTCTATGGAACACAACGAACCCTCAATGATGTTTCATGTTTAGTAATCGAATAAATATTTTTTAAGTTGTTGGATATCCATACTAAGTTTAGAATCATTCTTCATTTTGAGTTTAGAATGTCATCTATTATGAGTTCATAACCAATACTTTCTTTGAATATATTATGAAAGCAACCAATTTCTATCATAAAACCAAAAGGAAACCAAAATAACTTTTGAAGTCTAGCTATGTCTCCAACCAGGTGAAAATTCTTTTTATCTATTAGATGATATGACTTTAAAATTAATGATTAATATTTTTTTCTTTTTCTTTTTTATTTTTTCTTTCTTACCCTATTTGACCTTGGTTGTTCCTTCTCTCACTCCAATACCCTTCTCTTTCTCTTTCATTGCCCCTCTCTCTTATTGTCATTCCAAAACTATTGCTTCTTTTTTCATCTTTTTTCTCTTTATTTTATCTCTTACTCAATTTTACTTTTTCTATTCATCTTTATCCTTTCATCTTTGACATTCAAATTTATGAATTTGGATGGCACTTTCTCCATGGAGTCCATAGATTTGAAGGAGACTTTGTTATTGTTGTTGAAGCATAGGAAGGGGACAAAGTGGAGGCATTGGTTATCGTGAAACTAGAATAATTTTTTCGCAGCAAAGGAGACATCATAGTAAAAGGGTTATTTTATTTTAGGTTTAGACATTTTCAAATCTTTGATTTGATAGTTGTACAAATCAACTTACTTCAACATTGGTACACATGGATTAAATTATTATATGACTTTTCTTATTGTTACTAGTAATGGGGTCAAAAGTCTAAGCATGTTGCTAATAATCAAGTTGGGTTAGTTAATCAAGATAACCAACTTAGCTAGTCATTTCAATGTATAGTTGATTTAGGCTATTAATTTTAGCTAATAGCTAGTTTGGGGGCACCAATCATGATAGTTAATCGTGTTAGTCACTAGGTAAAAGGCAGCTAAAATTAATGGGAATGGGATCAAGTTAGGATCTATTAAGTCTAAGATGATGATTCATCATGTAAACATGAGACATAAGTTAGTAGAAAACAATAATTCAATAAAGTAAAAGGCACTCCCCTAAGAAAAAAAAAAAAAGAAATGGTTAGTGGAAGATAATAACTTTTTTTTTTCAAGATATTTTGATTTTAGAAGTTGTTAGGAAAAATAGGTAGTGCAATTCATAAATAGCCTTACAATCCTTATATTTTAGGAGATATGACAACTCGAAGCAATTAGCTAGTCACAATGTATGGGTTAACTTACTACACATAAGATGGATAATTAAAAGATTAAAAAATTCATACATGGATGGAGTTATATGAAGATAATTTTCAATATCATTAGACCAACTAGGGTGTAAATGGATCACGTTGGATTGGGTTGGGTTAGGTTAAGTATGCTTTTTTTGTCAAGCAACCCAACCCAACCTAATCATATTAGGTTAGGTTAGATAATTGGGTCAATTTATTAAAATATTATATTCTATGAAAAATAAAATATAAAATATAAATTACATAATCAATATATGTCCTAGAAAAAAAATTAATATTAATTATTAACAAAATACATAATTAGTATTTATTATTAACATTAATAAGTTGGATTGGATTAAGTCTAATTAATCAAGTTAAAAATTTATTAATTTATTATCCAACCAAATTACTAAAGATAATGACCAATCGAGACAGCTAAAATGAAATTGGATTGGGTCATGTTAGAAATAAATAATCATAATTTTTTTTTATTAATTTGATACAATTTTATAAATATTATCCGTATTGTTATCCAATCACCCTAGTAACTCACCTAATAAAAATTTGTATTAAGACAAAACTAATTCTAATTAAAGAATAATACAAAGTTACAAACTAACACCAAATAAATAACTATATATGTTTTCAACCCATTTTTGAACTATCCACCTTTGTGGGATACACTTAGGATCCATTTTATTTACTAAAATAATCTAATAATATAATTTTCTTTGTTTCATGTTTAATTTTAAAAAGTTGGGTGGGACAACACAAATTGAGTAAATATACAGAACAAAAACTTCACTTTTTGTTACTCAAAAAACCATGACACAACTTTTTGTCCTACATGCAAACTACTAAAAATTAAAAAACTACAATATCTTTATTTTAATTTCTCGGATCTCTCTCTCTCCTCATTTTCGCTCCCACTCTTTTTTTTTCCTGACTGTATCACCTATCAAATTTCAAAACATAATTCCAAACTGATATTATCTAAGTTGTGCTACTCGCTCTTATTCTTTGTAGTTAGGAAAAAAAAAGTTTTACAAAATTGTTAGCTTTAAAAATAATAATATATATTATAATATAATATTTATGATATATTATATGATCTCTACCTATTATAAAAAGAATACATGATATATAATTATTTTGTTGACCATTATACTCCTCAATTGTTTAAAAAGAAAAGTGAAAAAGTTGTTCATGTTCTTTAATAACCACTCACAACCACACATTCAATTTATCTTTTTTATTTATTCATAATATTTTAAAAAAAAATAAGAGGTACAAAATGCTCCTTTATCTTACTAGTATTTATAATATATATTAAAATACAGAACAATATATATTAACTTCTAATATTAAATAATAATATCATATATTATATTAAGATAATTAATATTAAAATATATATTATGGTAAAATTTCTATTTTTTTTACTTTATACTTCCTATTATTCATCAAACAAAGTACAAGTAAAAAACAATTAACCGGTTCCGTTCTCTTTATTTTGTACCTCAACATTTATCAATCACGTCCTTAAGGATACCCTTCTCTTAGCTAATTCTAAGTTCAACGGATCAGATAGACTGGTGCAATCAAATTTTTAAAACCATATAGTAAGAGATGACAAATCTTAGGTTCTTTTCATAATACAAATTTTGAATTTAATTTTTGTATAGTGAGATATAAAGAATCTTGATTTTTTTTTTGTGCTTCAGAATTTTCTAAACCAAAGAGAGTTTGATTTGAAAGGAAAAAGTTAAACGCGAGAGGACAAAAAAAACAAAAAAAAAACTATAACCAGCGAGTTATTTCAAATTATGAATTGAATATAAGTAAAAGTCAAAGATAAAATGAGAAAAGGAAATGCAACCAAATAAAGAACAATCTTCAATAGTAGTAAAAACAAACGACTGCCAATATGAACACATAATAGTTATATACGTAAGAATTTCCCACATAACTAGTACTGATAAAAATCTAGAGATTTTTCAAAATAAAAAGCCCAAAAAGCCTTTGAAACGAAATGCACAATTTTATGAATGTCATTAAATAAATAAAAAAACTTAAAGGCAAGATTTCAGTTAAGTTTGGACTCTGATGACAGATAACAGAAAATATTAACCTACAAACCAATATAGTACAAAAATGTACGAATTGCACATCCTTGTCAGCACTTCAGTTTCAACAGTAACTTAATTACAAGAAGAAGAAGGAAAAAAAAAACTATGATATTTAACACATTGCAGTTCGATAGAAGGTGAATTGACGAATATACACCTTAAAAGATTATCCCAGTCAGCCAAAAAAAAAACCACCATCCAAAACCAGAAATTTCAGGGGCCTGGCTTCCAAATCTATCAACTCCAACCTAACAAAAGAATGTGAGAAAATGTAAAACAATTAGTAGCCAACAACATTTGGTTGTGTACATGGCCATCAATAAGTCCTTTTAAATATTGGTGATATCATTGTGATTCACTTTTTTCAGGAACTTCCATTTGAGGAGGTAAGAGGTTTAAGAAGCTCCCTCTGGCAGTTTGGTTGGCACTCATAGCTGATTCATCATCTGTGTCATACAGTAAAATTGATTCATTAAAGAAAGTGCCGAACCAAACCATAAGAAATATCGACATATGCTTCAATGTTCAGTGCCAAAAAGTAACAGCAAGCAACTACATATGAAGAAATTTTCATGAGTAATGAACTACATTTTAAACGGCTATTGGTGCTACTGTTCATATCCCACTTCATGAGACAAGTCTGACAAAATAAAGCATATCAATTAGAAATATTTTCAAAATATTCTTTTTCTCTATTTTTCTTTGCAGAGAAATACATTGGAGTAAATAAAAGAAAAACTTATGAGCAATTAGACTTGTGCATAATGCATCAACCATAAAACCATGATATTTGGATAACACTAAGGTCTAATCTAAGTACACGAGCCATACACACTTGACAACCATTCTTATAGCAGGCAAGGCATAAAAGGTAAGATCTTGAGCATCCCACAATTAGTGAGTCACCAAAATGCTAATAAGGGAAAAAGGGATAATCTCACCGAGGAAAAGTCTAAGCCAGTAAGCCATGGAAACACCATATGAATTAGGAGACAATTTGATAGGAACTTGGGTACAATGGAGTGCCTAAGTCCCACGTCAAGTAATATGGGGTGCATGGTGGAGTACTTAAGTGGCTGGTTCTTCCTCTTGATGGCTAGCTTTTGGGTGCTTATCAAATGTCAAAGTTAGTTTTCAGTCTCAGGAAAGACTATCTACAGAGGGTTTGACCAAAAGGCTGATTGAAGTGTTGTACAGCGCGGTGGGTTTGACCAAAAGTGATTCAAGTGTTGTAAAGTGCAGACGTCGCCAGGACATCAACTCTAGGGCGCGCTCATTGCTATGTCAGGGGCTTGGGTATTACGGAGTGCCTAAATCCCACATCTAGTGGTATGAGATTCTCTTGTAGATGTGCATTACTACATAACAGCCTAGCATTTTGACAAATATACTAAATATGATAGAAATAAATTCTATATCTATAGAAGAACATTTTCCTTTATGTAAGACTCTGCATAATATATATTATACGGCCAGAATTAGCACTGCAACTATAAGGGAGGCACTGTGCATAACCAAAATAACTAAATGAGTTTTCTATCCATATATCTTAGAAACTGCAGAAATTGGGATTTAGGGGAGAAAAGGGGAGGAGGGAAAGTTTGGTAGAAATAATATGGACAAAGTTTACTTTTCCCTGATTTTTCCTCTACCCTTTTCTTCTTGATCTTTATCTATTTCCTTTAAAACAACATAAAATATATAATCTTCTAATATGTCAGAGAAGGAGCTACCCTGTGATGCAAAGTAGAAGGAAGATCTGCAATTCTAGAATGGAATCATTCAATATCACAACACACTACCCTATAGTGAAGTGAACCAATGCATCTAAAACATATCAATATTTTAATTCGATATATAGAAAGAGAAATATCTCAAAAAGGATAAGAAAACAGTAAAGATATTCTTACCGAATAGGGCCTTAATAGATGGTCTTTTAGGTTTTGTGTTCTTCTTCTTCAATTCAGCTGATAACATACACAAACCCAAATTACTTGTGAAGAGCAGTGCAATGATGAATCAGTAAGAGATGGTTATAAAAATGAAAAGAGAGAAAAAAAAAAGGAAATGCTCTCTTTCAGCTTATCCAGGTTCACCAGCATGCTCTTTGACAAAATTATGGTATATTGTAATTAAAATTACTCATTGCATCAGCATTCAAAATTAGTTAATATTTGTTTCTCATATAAGCAATTGTACATAACACAACCTTTTGAAAGAAATCTCCATCAATTTTTTTCAAAGACATGTAAAATTAAAGGCCTCAGTAAAAATGGGCTCCAATAAGCTGGCATCTGTTTAAGGAAACTGTAAAATTGGAAGCAAGCTAAAAGATTTTAATTGCATGGCAATAAACACCTCAACAAAGAGTGAATCCGTTGACATGTTCTGACACAACACGAAATCTCAATTAAAAAATTTTGGAATCAAACTAAATTGATTATAGAATAAAACATTCTATTAGATTCAATGGTCAAAATAATCTTCAAGTACACAAAAAATATTAAACAGGAATACTTTTATTCTGGAAAGAAAATGATGAAAATAAGATGAAAAGGTGATACAAAACTATTATAATATATATAGGAGTATACATAAATACATATATATATATATATATATATAGAGAGAGAGAGAGAGAGAGAGTGAGAGAGAGAGATGTAAATACCAATTCCTGGTATATCATGATCATTCACGATTTCAAAATTCTTATATGTGTAGCCAACGAAGTTAATATCTTTAGATGGCAGCATCTGCAGCAAATGACACAACTTACTAAGAAACCCAGACTTCAGCAAACCATAAAAATATATGTAACATTGATATCCATGATTTTCAAATCAAGAGGCAATTGTACTGAGGGTTAGGGTTACCATTAACACATTTTTAGTCTAATTCCAGTGTCATCCAAACTAAATTTATTTGCAAACCAAATGCTTTTATTGATGACGATACTATTCAACCTACTGGAAATTACTCAAACCAATTCAAAACACCTTATTTTCTCAATTACTGTGCAAGTCAAATGACCAAGAATAAAGCATCTGCTAGGACCCCAGTAGTAAGTAGTGAGGTAGTAAATGTTAAGGTAAGCAACAGAATTTGACCCTATGCTAAGGTGAAGATGAGAAAGAATAACAAAGAGAGGAATGACATGGGTGCGACATGTGGCATGAGATGAGTGTGAGCAGAGGGTTCTGTAACTAACTTTGCCAGCTGGCAAGGTTAGAGAGGCCGGGTGACAGTGTGAGGAAATACTGATCATGTTATGAGCTGGAAATGTGGAATATAGAGATTGGGAGAGATGCTGGGTAGTGAATTGTGGAAATAGACTCTTTGGGAGAGAACTTTATCTCTTGAATACCTAGTAAGTCTTGTACACACTCCTTCAGTTTTTGAATAATACAGAGTGGGGGAGGAGCTATATACTACACTGGTACCGGTTCTATTTCTCAATATCTAGTGACATTCTTCTCTTATTTCATAATTACTGATACCAGTTCTTTCAACATCTCAAATCAAATGTTACTCCCAATTCCCAAAGATTTATTTTTTGACCCGACATCCAAACACCCTAATAAGATATTTCTATTCTAGGTTGGATCAAGATAATCCAAAACAGAATAAGATCCCTAAATAAAAAATAACAATAAATAATCCCAGATGAAAAACACTAATTGTGAAATTAAAACCCTAAATAAATGACCTAATATACATTAGTGATATTAACAAATGATACAATTACAGAAACTCTTGTAGATGAACTATATACAAAAATTAAATAACAAGAACCAACCTTTCTCCACGGCCCTGCCTTTGAGGAAGGTACAGTTTGCTTGTCCACCTACACATCATTGGTAAAAAATGATCATGACACAGGTTGGCAATGAAAAAAATAATTAGCTCTTCTATATCCATGAACATAAAGATATAAAATATACCTCTTCAAACTTCTCAAAATTTTGAGTATCTAATTCATCATTGACCTCAGGTATGAAAGCAGCTTTCATGTTGTACAATTTGTCCCATTCAATACCATTGAACCATGGGTGAGCCTGGACACAAAATGACCAACCACTTTGTTGACATTAAACTGTATCCCCGAGTAAACTGTAGAATTTAGAAAAGAACACATCACAACACCTTTATTTCATCAGCTCCTTTGGTTCCAAGTCTCATCTCCACATTACATAGGAGTCTACAAATAAGATCCTTTGCCTCTGCTGAAAGTTTAGCTTCTTCTGGAAATTTTAAATTCGTTCTCCAATTTACTATCTGCATATTAAAGGTGAAGTAAAATAGATCATAATGGATGAAGAAAAAAAACTGTTACGATAAAAAGAAACCACAGAAGCAATCAACATGGACACATTATAAATTGTGGATTACTATGAAATGTCATCTATTACAATAAAATGCCAAAACTAGCAACAGAAGCATGATACAAAATAATTCACAGGCAACAAGTAACTATAAGGGGGGGAAGTTATATCATAAGAAAGAAAAAATTATCTACATCAGGAAACCATCTCTTCTTTTCTGAAGCTTGTTTTTTCATAAATAAATACTCAATAATTGCAGCCTCCTAAGAAATTCAATATTTCTACGACCTTCTGAACTTTATGCCTTCTGTTAGATTTTTTTACCAAAAAAAAAATGCAACCACGGTTTCCCAATTAACCCAGAGCTGCATTCTGAGCTATGGTCATGTTTTTCAAGCCTCTTGATATTTTCTTTCTGTGAGATATCAACAAGATAATCTCCAAATAATAGTTACACTATATGGTTTAAACAGTCAAGGGCATTTATGAAGCACAGGTACACAAAATTCTATTCTATTAACAAGTATAATATCAGACACTAATTGCCAAAAGAAACAGTGACAACCTGTTTTCCATATCCACGAATCTCACTTAGAAACACTAAGCTCAATATGTTTATGGGAATTCTAGGACCTCCAAACAAGGGTGAGGATATATGGTGTAATAGATCCAGGAAAATATCAATGGCAAGGTGGTCAAGAAATACCAGTAATTTCGGCATAGCATGTACTTCTAAAGTAAAATATGGCAAGATGGCCTTTTTCTAATCACAGGAATCTTGCAGAATTCAATGGACTCAGTCCTACACATCGTAATTTCTACTCATACAAATGCATGTTGCATTGGAATGGAATCCGTTAACAGGGGGTCCATATGTTACCTTTCTACAAGTCAACATCGGTTCATCTGAATAAAAAGGTGGATACCCCACAAGCATTTCATACATTATAGCTCCTAGAGACCACCTGGAAGCATTGACACCATCAGAATGCATTGAAACAGCAATTTCGTACAATAAAAATATAAAAAATAAAGGGGGGTTAGGGAGATTTTTGAAACAGAAAAGTAGAAAACATTCTATAATACCAATCACATTCCACGCCATATCCTTTCTTCAGAAGAACTTCTGGAGCAATATAATCAGGTGTTCCAACTGTAGAATATGCCTGCATTATTGCAAATAAAGAAAAACATAAAATGCCATCAATCTATATAGTCACCATACAATCACAAAGGGAAGAAAACTAGTGATCAGTGATCACCAAATTTATGTTATAATAATAGGGTTTAAGGTAAGGAAGGAAGAAAAGAGAGAAAAGAGACTCCAATTAACAAAAAAGTAGATCGATATATGTTTTCCAAAAGATAGGGCACTAACCCCTATTTATACTAGGAGTAGGACTAGACTTTTAATCCTAATTAAATAAGGGTACAAATAACTAAAAGGGTGAGATAGAAATCGAACCCATAAAAATAAGATAATGTTGCTAAGAAGACAAGATCTATAAAAATAAGGTAACACAATTATCCCTAAAATAACATAAATTATCCAAATCTATTATGCATTATTCTCTCCCTGAGATATTTTATAGATATTATAATAGCCCCATCAAGCCAAAGCTAACTAAGCTTTAAGCATATTAAAATGAACACCTCAAAACAAAAAATAAAATGTGTGTGTGTGTATATATATATATATAGAAAAACAACTCACGGATGTTAGAGATGTTAGAGAGATGAGTATTGCTAAGGACACAACTAGAGATGATGGCTGGAACAATTATTAGTCATTGTAGTCTAAGTGTCTACTAGATTTGAGTTTTGGTCCCTATTGTTTATTGTTCTAGGATGAGGGAGAGCCTTGGCACAATGGTAAAGTTACTGCCTTGTGGCCTAGAGGCCACAGGTTTAAACCCTGGAAACAGCCTCTCCAGTTGCAGGTGTAAAGCTGCGTACATCTACCCTCCCCAAACCTCACTTGGAGGGAGCCACATGCACTTGGTCACCCTTTATAGTTCATTTTTTTTTTTAGATATCTGTGCCTATATTTTCAAATTTTGGTCCCTATCATTAAAATGCCAGTCCCTATTTTCTGTTAAAGACTGGCCCTTATAGTTTCAAATTATTAAGAAGGTATTGATACTGAAATTCCAATGAGCGAAGCTATCAATATTCCAAACCCCCCCCCCCCTTCCCCCCTTGAGAAAAAAAAAACCTATAAAAAAAATTATATCAACATCCAAAAAAAGAAAAGAAAAGAGTATATATACATTTTGGTCCCTGAGATATTATGTGTTATTTGGTCCCCAAAAGTTTCCACTTATAGCAACGCAAGGAATATCTTCCAAGGACTACATTGCATATTTACTCCCAAATATATAATATAGGGATCAAAAATCTAAATCAGATGAAACTATAAGTAATTAAGGACTAATTGTTTATTTTAACCTAAAAAGATGGCACAAACTGAAAGTTAACAAGGAATTAAATAATCATACATGTTTATGGACATTAATATTGAGAGGCTTACAAGCATTCGTCGATTTTTCTGCCAATGCTGCAGCTGCTCCTGTTGTGTTCGTTTAGGAGCCGCAGGACGGCCATCACTTTGGAGGGCTCCACTTCTGTTAATTCCAACAGAGAAGTCCTTTTCTTGAAGATTACTGCAGTCTAGTGGTTTACATAATCCAAAATCTGATAATTTCATGTGACCATTTCTATCTAGCAGCAAATTGTCAGGCTTGATATCTCTGAAATGCATTTAAAAATCAGATTATCAAATATTTATTGATCATGAAGAAGACCACTGTAAATATTGTTGATCCATGTCACGAAAGTATGCTAAAATTTTCATAATTTGATGTTATTGTTTATAGCCTCATGTTTACCTATGAATGTAATTGTGTTTATGAATTGACTCTATAGCTAGGACAGTCTCCCCAACATAGAACCTGGCCTCATCTTCTGTCAATATATCCTTCCGCATCAGCAATGTCATCATATCTCCCCCAGGTAGATACTCCATTATAAGATATAAATACTCCTCATCTTGAAAGGAACAATAAAGTTTTACAATGCAATTGCTGTCAACTTCAGCAAGTAAGTTCCTCTCAGCTTTGACATGTTCAACCTGAAAAAATCATATCCGATATGTATAAGAAAACAACATTTACTCTAACAATGCGATAATTTCAATACCTGGCCTCTACGAAGCATCTCTGATTTCTTAAGCTTCTTCATGGCATATACATGACCGGAAGCCTTCTCCCGGCAGATTCTAACCTATGAAAAGATGGAATTGCTAAATTGTAACAAATCATCTGATAAATCTCTTTATGAGAAACAAAAAAGTATTGACATCATAAACTTATAATAAGAATCTGCCTCTAAATACCAGGAACAGCCATGAAAAATAGAAAAGAACAACAATGATATGAATGTCTGGGAGACCTATAAAATTATAATAAGAATTTGTGGTTTCAAGTTTCAATCAACATCTCCAGTCTCCCACACATATCAGTGTTATAAATCTTGTTGTAACAGGATAGTGGATAGCAGGATAGCCACAATTGTGAAAATTTTCATGGTTTATATAATGTATATACATATAAATTCTCAAAAATCACTCAATTCATGACATTCATAATTAACAATAAAAATCATAGGTGTCTTAAACAAAACATACAAATAAATGCCAATAAAGGTCATATATAAGTTTACTAGATAGTAGCTAGGAATCCGCATTTTCTAAATCCAAATCTTTTTCTTTATTATTTTCACTACTATTACAGCAATAGATTTCACTTTTGGAAATAGAAATCCCAAAAATAGACCCCTGTAAAAACCCTAACCTCTATTGAGAGGGCATTTTCGGAATCAACATATAGCACTGCTAACCCATCTGCTGTGGCCACTATTCAGCCTGCTATTTAGTCTGCTACAGCTGTTACGCTAAATCACTCTGCTGTAGCGCTACTTAAAACCCAAGGAAAAATTAACCAATGTAGTCAAACTCAAGATTCCACCTAGGATTGGGAAGCCAGGTGAAAGATTGAAACACGAATCGCAAGATCCTACCTTATATACATATATATATGCATAAAAAATAATATAGATAAGGAAAATAACCTCTAAATCACAACATTAAACTAACTTAAATTGAAAATTCATAATCATAAATATTAATATGGAATAGCTGAAAAATGCCAAAAAAAAAAAAAAAAAAAAAAGAGAAAACTAGTAACCTTTTCCTTTCAATTGATAAAAGCAGAACATTTAAATTTGAAAGGAAGGAAAAAAATATATAATAAATGTCAATTATGAAACTCAAATCAGAAAACAGTAATTCATTCACAAGAGGTACTACATTTGTTGTATGTACCATTTCCAGTCAATTATTACCATTTTCAGTTTTTTATTACAATTTTTTACACAAAAAGCATGAGTTGTCTCATCAGCCATCATCCATCATCCCTCCTTCTCCCCAATTCTAATAAAACTAAAAAGAGACAGAAAAAAATTCTAAAATTAATTTATCCAAATATCATTCCCAAAATATTCAATCAATCAGCCTTTTGCATCCACTGAGTACAACAGAGCCAGCAAATAGCTTGACAACCCTAACACTAAAAGTGATGGCAACAACAATCTGAACAGCAATGAGCACAGCTGAGTCATAAAAAATGAGCACAATTGCTGCTATGGCGGCCACTCATGTAAGAAGTACCGCCGATGCCAATGCTGAAGAATAAAAGCTAGAGGCTCTCTCCAGCAAGTTGAGCAAGTCAAGTTCTTCAACCATGGAAAACAAAAGGTGAGAGACAAAAGAGGAGAGACAAACAGCTTTGTCACACTCACAGAATAGAAGGGGAGAGATGAAAGGTGTGAGACAAATGTTTTGTGGTTCTGGGACCCTAACAGAAGGGTATTTCATGTTTTCAAAACAGGGTCAGGTGACCCAGAAACACACCTCAGCCCGGATAGGGGAGGCTCGCTCAGGAGCATCAATCCTGCAATTTCACAACCAAGATCACAATCCAGAAGTAATCTGACCAGGCTCTAATCTAGGCTGCAAGTTAGATTGCTCCAGGGGCCAAAAACTCATAGGATTGTAAAGTCAACAAGGTAACTCACAATTTTAACAACATTGACAGTAACATGATTGCCAAGATCTGTTCATATAAAAATAATTAAGGTCTAAAATAAAGATGGTTTTACTTAGATGTGTGCTTATAAATGTAGAGTATACCTCTCCAAATGCACCCTTCCCAATCATAGTCAGGGGCTCAAAGTCGTCAGCCCCCATCTTATGTCTCTGAAGGCGCATGTATTCCCTCTCCTTTTTCTCCAAATACTTAAGCAAGTTATTTTGTTCTTCCTCAGAGACTTCAGCATCAGCCAACTTCTTTTCTAGCATATCACGTCTGCAAAAAATAATCAATTTAGGTCTTATTAATGGGCTTAAAACAATTTCCATTTCCATTAGGTATTTGCACATAATATGTCACATCAGCAACAATAAAAGAAAAATGTCATACAAAATATTCCAGAATCCAATGTGGAAGAAAACTTGTTTGGAAGCAAAAAAGCAAGGGCAAAGAGGAAATCATTTATTTCAATCAGCTTAGGGTTTTATATGGTACAAAATTAAAGAATCTTAGATTGGATTGTCATCATGAACCAAAACATATAAATTGAAGTAAAGATATACCTTTCCTTCCTCTCCTGCAGGCTTTGCATCTGCTTCTTATAATGATTTTCTATGTACTGCTTTGCAGCTTCAACCTTCTGTTTGGTTACATTTGAAGGTGCCTCATCATTTGATGGAGGTTTTGACCCTTCTTTTGTTGCACCTGTAGTTTCCTTGTTTTTTTCAGACTTCGTTTTATCATTTGGCTTGAACTTACTAAACCACTTCCTTGTAGTTTCCATTTTATTCGTCCACCTCTTAAGCTGCTGTGTAATATTTCAACTTCACCAAACACTAAAGACCAATAATTTTGCCAAACAAGGATCTCATTTTACCAGACATGAAAATCAAGGCACTATTGTTCTTCAGAAGAACCCAAGGCACATTCATTAACTACTCCTGTCCAAACAGGAAAACAAACCACTACAATCAGCTAACAGTAGCATCCACAATAGGGTTAATAGCTGCTCAGAATTAAAACAAACAAACATTCAAGTATAGAAGATGTGATAGTATATTAGTACTAAATCTACATAAATGACCAAATAATATATAAATTCATAAAAACATAAGTTCATAAAGTGAAAATATTTCAAAAAGGAGTTAATTTCTTCAAATCATTTGAGCCCTAGACCCTAGTAAAACACTGTCATTGTGGGGTCAAAGAGGGGCAAAAATTACATTGAATTTCAAACTCGTTGACTCGCATCTTGACTCAACAGTCTATGCCAGTATACCTGAGTTCATCTAGAAAATAGTTTAACAGCAAGTCAAATCGTTTTCTCTACCTCATAAGCTCTCAAGATTCTACAAGTTAACTCTGAGAGTTTGACCATCATGCCTAAAACGTTTCAAAAGTGGAACCATCAGCCCCAAATTTCAGAAAAACGGGAAGCAATACCTAGGATCCTCATTTCGCAACAATCCCTCAAAAACAATTTGCTTTTCCACGTCAACAACGCTTTCGAAAATTCTAGGTTTCTTCAAAAGCACACACACGCATACAGATACACAAAAACAACGAAATCAAAAGCCAGAACACCCATCCAGCGCATTGCAATTCAACAATTCACAGTGCATGTCAAAATCACTCTTCTGGGCAGCAAGGAACATGGTCAAATTACAATCTTTTTAGACAATCCCAAGAGAAAAAAAAACGATTTTTTTTTTCTTTCCCCACATGCTCCCACTGACCCAATAACAGAAAAATATAAGAACCCCCTTCAAAAAAAAATATTAATAAATACTGTAAATCAAAGTCAAAAATGATCACGCAACACTAGTACTAGAAAAGAAAAAGTGGAAATTTGGATTGAAAGGGGAAACTAGAACCTTGAATCGGGAAGCTGCGAGAGAGAGAGAAGCAGTTTGCGTTGTTGCTGTTGTTGTTGTTGATGGAGACAATGATGTGAATGCGATGCCAGGATTGAATTTGCTGGTTTTGGGTTTTTGTTTTGTTGTGAGTTGAAAGTTCGTAGTTGAAAGTTGGAAAGCACTTTTATAATAGATATTAGATATTAGATAGTGGACGCGGAGTTCTCTTCTCTTCCTTCTATTCCACCTTACCCGACTTCAAGCCAACACAATATCTTCCTTCTTTGCTTCATTATCATTTCAAACCTACATTACCAAACACGCTTCTTTTATTTTTTTTATTTTTTTATTTATTAAAAAAACAAAACTTCAATTTAATCATAAAATCACTATGTATTCAAAAGTTATATTAAAATGATTAATAATTAGTTGATTATATAAAGCTTTTTTACATTGTTAGTGCATGACTATTGAACCATCATAGTTTATTTATGAAAAACATTAGAACACTAATTAAGAAACCAAAAGTAATAATTTTTTATTGAAAAATGCATTTACACTTTCTTCTCTATAATTTTATTATAGTTTTTAATGAGAGTTTTCTATATATTGACTCTTTAGTCAGTGTCCTAAGCATATTGTTAAACTAGTTAACAAGATTTGTATTTATTTATGAAAATCAAATTTTGTATCGATATATTTATAATACTCACATAATTACTCAATCAATTAACTTAGACCTAGTGAGTCTAAGCACAATTATTTATCTCTTCAAAAATTATTGACTTTAGTTTTATAATTTTTTAGAATAATTTCATGAGTTTAATTATTTTATGATGATGTTTTACACTATCAATCAATAAAAAAAACTATTAGAAGTGTGGGTTTGAAAGTAATTATAATAAAAATTTACAAACTTATCATATAATATAAATTATAATTAAATGAATAAAGGAATTCACACTTGTTTATTTTTCTCCTCCTTCTTTCTTGTCTACAAACGCACTTAACTTTATTATTTTTCACCTATTTCTTCTTTTTTTATACCATTTCTTCACAATTTCAACAATACCAAACGAATAGTAAACTACTAAAAATGGGAAATAACTAAAGTTATATATACATATATCTAAAACCCTTTCAAAATCCTGATGCATTAATAAGAAGTATTAAATTTGCATTAATATCCTTCATTTTTCGAAGTATGAGGTATTTTGCACATAGAAATTTAAAGTCTATGACTTCTTCCCTCCTGGTGTTACTTTAAGGTAATGCATGTCCATTTTCCCACAAAATCAAACCAAACATGCTAGAGAAGAAAAAGAAAGGGACGAGAGTGGATTATGTTAGTTAAGATCTTATAATGTAATTGTAATCTATAAACTGAAGAGTAACATGATTATATATATATGTGTGCATATCCATTAAAAGCGTGTTCTAATGTTAATATGAGAGATATGAAGAGTAAATCATAACCTTCGGATGATAGATAAAAATAATTAATGATTAAGATTAAAACACAATTATAAATACTTTCTTACAATATTATTGTTATTATTTCTTTAACAACTATCAATATCACCACAACCCACCGTTGCAACTATCGCCGCCATTGTTGTCATTGTCACTATTGTTGTCGCCGTCATCACTACCATCGTCATAGATGTCAGTGACAGTGGTAATAGCAGTAACAATAACAACAACGACAAGAATGGTGTTTTGTTTGGCGATTGTGGCAGTGGATGGTGATGATATTGATAATTATGGAAGGAATAATAGTAATAATCTTGTAAAATAATATCTATAATTGAATTTCAATCTTAACTATAAATTATTTTTACCTATAATATAAATGATATAATTTACTCCCCTTATCTCTTATAATAAAATATGCTTTCATTAAATATATTCCTTATATATAAATAGTATATATACATATTTGACACTTCCTCAAACTCAAGATGTATTAAATAAACAAATGTTGAAAATTTGATAGTGGTATACATGTCAATAATTATATGAATTTCATTTCACATAACATCACAAATCACTTTTTGTAATCATCATTATCATTGTGAGACCCTACCCTTTTCCCATTTCACCCTCACCCCCCTCCTACTCATTTTTCTCTCTAAACTCTCACTTGAAATTTTCACTCTCTTCATCATCCCTTTGCTTGCCGTGGTCCCAATTCTTTGGATTCTTGGGTGTGTAGGTGCTGATCTTCGTGATTGAAAGCTAGCTGAAAAGCCGGAAATCTTTTCTCTTCTCTGTTGATCTCTTTCAAGCTTATTCTCTTCCGTTTCTTCTTCCCGAAGCTCGGATTCTTCTACCGAAGTAAGGGAAGCTAGTCCTTTGTTTTGTTTGGCTGAAAACGAGTTCTAAGAACTCTTTGGTGGAATGATGTTTGCTACATTTGAGCTGAGAACTGCTGGAATTGCTGATTTGGGGTTTTTGGGTTTTCGGGGTCTTTGGGGAAATTTTTGGGAAATTCTTGATTTGTGTTTGCATGTTGAAAATGAGGCGTTTTTACTGATTTTTGATGAAAATGGGAACTTTTGGCTGGATTGCATGTGGATTTGTTGTTAAGTTTTGCAGGATTTGGACAATTTTTGAACTTGGGGAGAGTTGTTGCTGAGTTCGCGTTGGGCACTGTTTTTCGCGCCGGGCGCGTGACCACCAGGGGACTCTATTTAGGCAAGCCCGCCGGGTGCAAAGTTGTGTGCGCCGAGCGAGCTTACAAATGGGAGTCTCTGGTTGGCCCATGCCGGGCGTGACTTGAGTTGCGCCAGGCGTGATATCAATGGTGACATTGTGGGGATGTGCTGGTGTCGCGCTAGGCGCACGTTTAGACTCGCTGGGTGCGGAGACTCCTTAGGAGTCTCTGCCAAGAGAGCGTTGGGCGCAATGCGAATTGCGCCGGGAACGAGACCTTGGTAGGTCTTTGCCTTCCCCACGCTGGGCGCAGGTTAGGCCACGCTGAGCGCACGAGACTCCTTATAGTCTCTGCCTAACAGGCGCTGGGCGCAATTGGAATTGCGTCAGGCGCATGAGAGCCTTGGACTCTCGGGTTGAGTCTCGTCGGGCGCGAGTACTCTTGCGCTGGGCGCGCTGGCCCCTGGTGCTCTCGAGTTGAGTCGCGCTGGGCGTGACGTCGAGTGCGCCGGGCGAGCAAGGAGATATTATTATACATGTTGTTAGCTGTTGAATTTTGCTGAAGTTGATAATCAATGTTGCTTTATGTTGAACTAAGCTGTAATTGATGAATATGCTGTGTTGACTAGAGGTGAATGCTTAAAAATGATGTTAAGCTGTAATAGATGTAATTGTTGTGCTGAGCTGGGCTGTTATTAATGATTTTGGATGCTAATTTATAATATTGTTGTGCTCTAGCTGAGTTAGGAGTAGTAGGCTGTGTTGAATGCTACTTAGCCGTGCTGTATGCTAATTTGCTGTGTTGTGCTGTGAAATGTTGAGTTGCATGTTGTGTATGGCCACCATGGTGGTGTTGTTCTAACCGCTATGTCGGTGCTGTTTTAGCCACTATTGTGGTGTTGTTATTGTCACTAAGCGGTGTTGTTATAGCCACTTAGGTGGTGTTGTTATTGCTGCTAAGCAGTGCTGATTATTGCCGCATTGCGATGCTGATATTATTAAATGTTGTGAGTGGTATAAGCAGTACTGGTGTGCTGATAACCGTAGCCGTTTTCTATCATAATACTATGTATATATATATGTTGATTTTATTTACCCTAGCTTACCCTTTGTTATTTCCATGATGTTTGGACTGCAATGATCATATTATGTATGGGAGCAGAGCAGGGATAGGTGGGCGATTAGTGGTGAGTCTTTAGCGGACCGGTGGAGCTGATCTCTTTTGTGATTATTTTGTTGTTAAGCTACTTGGGGTAGTAGCACTTGATTGTATTTTCGTACACTTTAACTCTATTCAGATTGGATCATGTATATGTATATTCTAGACTCTATATGTATACACTTGTTATTTTCTGTGCGGTGTTTATAATGTGATGTGTCGTGTGTAGTGACCAGCCGGGTCGTTACAATCATAATCTCAAACATGTAACAAAATACTCACATATCATAACATACTTTACATCCCAATTTCTTAAGTATAGAAAATCATGATCAAGTCACTCATTTCACATAATTTATCATAATAACTTCATTGTTAAAGTCATACGTGATAATCATTAAATCAAGGGAAATAATTTTTATTTTGTTTCAAATATGTATATTCAACTATTACATTATCATCATGTTATATCTATTAGACAACTCTAGGTTCCATCAATGTGAATTATTGTACTTAAATCAATTTTGTTAGTATTTTCTTAGTTGGTAAATTCACTTTATTCATAAAAATTTAAAACTAGATTCAATAATGTTATCTTAATTTATTTTCCATTTATATTATTGAAAGCATGTGTCATTTACCATTTCATATCATAGTATATCCTCATTTTCTAATATCTTATCTCATTTTACTATCTTGCATAATATAAGTTAGATTCTGGTGGATAGAGTTCACTTATCAAAGTATCAAGTCATTGTTTTTTCGATTATCTCAATGTTAGTTTTTTTTTCTTAGAAACTCTTTAGAAAATTAAGTTGAAAAAAACGGAGTTATAGCTTGACTCATAAGAAAAGGATTGAGTTTGACCTTTGTAAAAACTCCAACCTAAAACTTTAAAGCTTTATTATACTTATGTTTGGAAAAAATAATTGTTACTCAAAAAGTTGTTCAAAATATGATTTTGATATTAAGAAAGTTAAGTTTTTAAATCCAAGCTAATAAATACTTGCTAAATGAGAATGAGACAATAAGATAAATCAATGTATATA